CAACTTCACAGCTTTGCTCAGTCGACAAAAAATTTTGTCGTAGAAAGACTTCCTGCGTTCCTGGTTGACACCTACATGAGTCGTCTTGCGTGGACTCTATTCATTGATGACTTATCGACAAATTTTAGTGACGGAATCTTGATATCAGCCCTACTTTTTTAAACACACACCTTAAAGTTTCAAACAAAGGCAAAAAATTCACTTTTTTTAATGTTTAAATTTGAAAATTGATATCTCAGGACAGAAGATGAAATTGAAAATTCCGTCACTAAAATATCTTCTATAAATCTTAAGGATAACCCAAAAAAATTTTCAAGACTTTCCGTTCCAATGAAAGACGCAGGAAGATTTTTCCCCAACGCTCTAAAAAACACTAAAAAGCCACTTTTCTCAGAGACCGTTCAACATTTTGGATTGAATTTTGTTTTATGAACTCACCATAATGAACCCAATAATCAAGCAAAGTTTCAACTTTCTGGGATTATTTTAAAGCCTACTTGAAAGTTTCACCAGGGTCCCCCCTTAATGATTTAAGCCCCTGGAACGGTGTGAATCGTTGAATCCCGCTGGGAGGGGCCTGAATGGGTACAGGATTTTCCGTCAAAATTTTAATGCCCTTCCAAAGGCTAAGCGACTCACACTGTTTTACAGCGTGAAAGACTGTTAATGCCCTTCGGGGCGTAGTTTTATTCCTTTGCTTTACCAGTGTGTGTCATGGAGCCATCCATCAACTAAAACATTACGCGCTTTTGGTGGATTTTGATCGCCCTCTCCTCCCCTGTTACTCAGCGTGACGCTGGACACCACCCCCTAAAGTGTGTTACGTGATAAATGGATGACTCGTTTACTTCGCTAAGCACGCATTAATGGAAGAGTTTTCTTGCAAGCATGCACTCACACGCACTCACATAATATGTGAACTGCGCAGACAGGTTTGCAGCCAAATCTGGATTCGGAGACCGCGTCATAGTATTCGCCATGTAACGCCGGTTACGCTGAGGTCAACGTTCAAAATACGATTCACTGGTGGAACTGAAGCGTACTTTTACGCTCTTCTCCAAGCGTAGTCGCTCCACACTTGGCTTCGTAGTTCTGCGTGCTGCAACTCTCCTGTCTAACTAGATGCATGGGAGGATCTCTTCTCCACCATCAGCGTTAAGTCTTGTGGATCTTGATCACCCCTTGTGTAGACGTCGTTTTTTCAAGCCTGCTACAGGACACTTTCTGTGGTTCACTAAAGAAATGATGAATAGAAACTATTGGGTGATTATCACCGTAGGTTGTCACTCGCGTTCCCCGGGGAAGTGCTTCTTAACTAGACCACATAGGATGTTGAAATTTGTTTTGAGCTCGCCCCTTGGGGTCCTTTACCACCCCCAATCTTGAGTTTTGAGCTGCCACTTCTGAATCGGCCTTAATAATATTGAGAAGTGGTCAAAAAGTGAACTCCGTCCACTTCCCCCGCACCAAGTCGATTTCGAAAAGTGGTGTTTAACAACCTCCTGCGAGATGAAAGCAGACTTTCTTCTGACCAACATGAAAGAAAAAGTATGTGGGATCACATCATCGGCCACGGTGACTTTCTGAAAGCAACAAGCGTGAAACAGCACGTCATCAAAATTGTTCCCCCAGTTTTCATGTGAACTCCGTCCACAGTGCTTATTTTGGCACCAAAATCGCTAAAATAGCTTTAATAACACGACCCGACTCGGGAATTGTGCATCTTTCAGTTCTCCATCCGCCACCACCAAAATCAGCTGGCTGGTGTTGCGCGAAGGGAGTCCAAGTGGGATTTAGTCTTCGATTCCGCTGCGTATGTTTTTTAAAACGAACTCCGTCCACCCCCTTTTCTCGGAAACCAATGTTCCAAAAGTGCCCCGATTTCTTCAAAAGTTAGGTTTTAGTGGCCCCTTTGATAAGCGCTTGGTCGGAAGAATCGTATTTTAGCGTAGCGACCAGTGCGTGGCGAGATACAGTGGTTGTAAACGGTACAAGAAATGAACTCCGTCCACCTCTTTTCAAACTGCATATTTCAGCATAAAAATCAGGTTGTCCCGTAACAAGATTGATCAGAATGAATTGTGTCGTCACTTATATGCACTTAATAGGCACCACAGTTCCTCGGACCTTCATTTAAATCGTTTTTTTTAAGGGGAAATAGCGAACATAACCTCAAATTGCCGTACGGCGCATGGCACCCGTACACCTATGGTTGCCGGTTTGCCCGGCGCTTCTCTCTGTTCTGTTCAGCGCTGTGCTGTGCACTTAGCTGGGGATCATTTTACTTTCTTCCACTTCTGTTTTGACCACTCTTTGGCATAATCTACGACCGTTACCTAGCCTTAGAACTTGAAAAAACAGCAATTTGAAATTTGATTATGAACTATAAATTTCTCCCAATCTTTTTTGGGCTGTCATTTCTAAACCCGTGGACCGATTTCGCGGAGGCTTCGTATTTTAACCCTTCTAGTAGTCCCATATCGCCTCCGTGCAAAAAGAATTTTTTTCGGGAACCTTTTATTTCAAAAGTATCCGCGGGCTAAAATGACAACCTACGCTGATAATCACCCTATTTCTTCCTTCTTGGGCTTTGAAACTGTCCTTTCCCTTCGTACTGGTTGCTAAAATATTTTTTGGTGGGCGCCTTACACTCTCAGACTGTTATTGACTTTTCCTTTGTTAAAGAGTATTTTACACATCAATGAAAAGTACTACACTGTTAAAAATAATAGTAAATTTACATTTTGTAGAACAAATTTGTCGTTTTTAAACGACATATTTTGCTACGACTCAAGGACTCAAGTCGTAAATATACGACTTGAGTCGTAAATGTACGACACATTTGTCGCTAATTTTGATAGCGACACGTTTCGTTTTAGAACGAATTAAGTCGTAAATTTACGACTTAATCGTAAGTTTACGAACAATCGTAAATTATCTTTGGAATATGTCGTGCAGTTATGACTTCAGTCGTACATTTACGACTCTCGTCGTAAATTTGTGTTATAAATCGTAAATGAACGACACAAATCGTAAATAAGTAAGCAAAATTGTAACTTTTCACCTCCTTTTCGGGGATTTCAGGTGTCAAAATATGTAATCGTGATTACGACATTGTCGTAGGGAAATGATTCTTTAGTCGTTCAGTTACGACGAAGTAGTTTAGGAACGATTTCCGTCGCTATGAAAATTAGCGACTTTTTTTGTCGCTAATTTACGACAGAATTTCTAACAGTGTATTTCCTCAATATGTATGTAAGATTTCGTTCGTTTTATCAACTTAAAGTCAATGTGCTATTTTCAAATAGTTAATACGCAATTAACTTCAAAAATAGTCAACATTGTTGAGAAGATCTGTGGCATCTGCTTTCCGGCATGTTGTCACATTTACAAACATGGTTTCTACAGGGAAGAAGGCATTGTAGTCCAATTGGGTTAGCTTGATTGAAACTTCATTTGAGAAGCTCCAGACAAAAAAGCCACTTGGCCGGCGACATCCTAGGAGCGGGCACTTATGGTGTTATATCGGTTCCTTGTATGCATACGAACTGCCGAAAAGACACTTGGACGAAATCCGACACCACCCGACAGGTTTTGGTAAGTTGCTCAATTTTACTATTTTTTCACTATCTCTTTTTGATCAGCACCTCTTGAAATGCGTTTTTAATATGGTGCCACAATTTTCGGGAACAAAGTCTCGTGTTTCTCCAGGTTCCGTTCTTGTCAGAGCTAGAAACACTACTAGCGACCATGTCGATTTGTGTGCCCATGCCTTGAAAAGGAGCCTCCCGAAGTCAGGCCAGCGCCGCAGGCGAGAATAGGCGTAGGGTCAGGGCGGGGAAGAACTGGACGTTTTGCAATCTTTCTCGATTTTGACTCTAATTGACTATCTATAGCCAATGTATCCGTTGGGTCTGTTGATCGAGACATTTCAACCCTCAGCGAGTGCGTTTGCGGCTTCATTCAGTAATAAATGAGAAAAAACAGTGTGCGATTCTTCCCCGTCGAAACGGGGAAAAATCGAACACCTAAGGGGAAAAATCGGACATAGGCTTTAATTTAACAAAAACCTATGAAAGTAGGTCAGAAATCTCTTGGGAACGATATTTGGGGGTAACACTTGCGATACCCACTGAAGCAGGCGCACGAGTATTCCTACGTAGACAGAAATCATCGTAGCATTGTTAGGGGGTCCGTGGCGGCACGTTTTTGAGGTTAAATGACCAAAATGTATGAAATCGTCAACAGCCGTGTTTGTTTTCCCACTAAATGTTGGGAAATGCTAAAATACCTTTGTTACGACCACTTTGGTGGGATGTTAGGGCAATTCATCGATTATTATAGAAAAAAGAGGTGTTCGATTTTTCCCCGCACCAGTGTACGGTTTTTCCCCGTTTCGTATTTAACCCTTCATATGTAATCCAGCTTGGAATCTGCTAAAACATTTGAACGTATCTTGGGCTCCACACTTCCATCTTTCGTTTACAATAAGAATATTCGTCATAGTAGGCTCGGAAAGTCGTTAAAAAGAGATGTTGCGGGCACCAACTTTGAAAGTTTTTAAGGTGTTTTAAACGAGACCTCGTTTAAAGGTGACTTTGAATACTTTCCGGTTCAAGTAGGCTAAATTCCTCTTAAACGCAATCTAGCAGATCATCAATAAGCAATACTGAATACTTTGCACGTCCCAAAACAGGTAAATTTGTGGCGAAAGTGCGGTGTGCGTTTCTTCCCCAACTTGCAGGTGTCCGGTTTTTCCCCGCCCTGACCCTAGAGGCCAGGCCTGGATTGTCGGCATTGGCGCAGTCTGGCGTGCCCCTACCAAATTACGTGTTAATCTTAAAATCCATTTATCAAATCTTAAATTTCGTAGCCGAACCTGAGGTTTCATAAGAATGTCATGTCATGAATATTGAGGTCTAGAACGTGATTATGAGATGTCAAACCCATTAGGATAAGAAATTTCATGACCGGGGTCCGAGGTTAATAAAGAAAAATGGTACGGGACTAACACAGGTTTATTCCTCAACGGACACACAATCATAGATTCACTGACTCAAACGAGTTGTTCACTCTTTTAAGAAGCAAGTATAGCTCAAATGTCCTATTACAAGCTTCATTTTTGTACACTTGTTTGAGCTCTCCAGATCAAAAGAATGAAAGGAACATGTTTGATAATATTAAAGTTAGTTATACTAAAAGCAGACTCGTCTAAACAAGCCACCTGACGGCCAAGAACGTCAAAGCGACTGGAAGTAAAGAACTCTTAAAAGAGGCGGCACCAGAGTCGTCGGGGAACGGTTCCGAACCTGCTTTAACAAGGGGCACCTTTCTGGTCTTAGCAACGCGTTTGAAGAATGTTGACGATTTTTTCGGAGTTCGTTTCAGACTGCCGCTTTGGTAGTCGACATGAACCATGCCCCAGCCCTGGCTGCAAATAAAGAGCACAGTTCGTTAATTTGTGTTTAGTAGGCTAGCCAATGCAGGTACATATAGGAAATGTGTACTTTAGGATCTTTCACGGTCTACCTTCTGTCTGTCATGTTCGTATCTTTCTGAATGAATTCTTAATTCATTTTTAGACACTCAACGTGTTGATGATGTATGGAATCATGCATAAATGATTGAAATTCAAGGTAAACAAAAATGAACTGCACACTTAAAACCTTACGAAGTCTTTTGAGCACAAGGAAGGTGCCAAGTTTTTAATTTGCATTGCAACAAAAAACCACAACAAAAGTACACAAATTCCTAGCATTTTTTTAGGAATCTAATGTACTTTCAAAGTACAACAACTGTTGTACAAAGTACAACAACTGTTGTACAAAGTACAACAACTGTTGTACAAAGTACAACAACTGTTGTACAAAGTACAATGGAACCGGCATGACGAGTGCTGTGCAGCTCAGGCCTCGTGGTTTGTACAATTCTCGTTGTACTCACTGGTGAAACAAAGGCATTAAAATTATGCCCTTTAAGGGCGTGAACGATTTGCGCCCTTAAAGGGCATAAATTGTTTATGCCTTTGGGAAAGGCATTAAAATTTTGCTTGAAATGCCTATACCATTTACGCCCTTCCCAAGGGCATTAAACGATTTATGCCCTTGGGAAGGGCGTAAAAGAGTATTTATGCCCTATAGGGCGTAATTTTTATGCCTCTGTTTTACCAGTGCTTTCTACAACCCCAGTTGTACTTTTATTTTTCAGTTTTTGTTGTGCCTCTGTTGTCATATTCACACTTTTCCTTGCAGTATGTAAAACAAAGAAAGAGTACGTAAGAACTATTTTCGTTAAAAGCTTACGTATGCTCAAATTACTGTTATGTGAAGCAACTTTACTTTAGTAAGGCTGAGTTTTTCAGTGCAAAACACACCGAGCTAACCATGCGCTTGTCGAGCTTCAGGCCCAGCGGAACAGCACCCAAACTTAATGATGCTTTAGAAACATGGCAGAATCGACCGTTTTGACGCCTGTGTGGTATTAGGAAGTTAATTTCTTACTTGTAATTGAAGAATTCAAACGAATCCAGGAAGCTCCACACCATGTAACCAAGAACGTTGGTCTTCTCCACATTCAGCCCGTACGCCAACTCACGGAGGAAGGCCTGGAATGTAATTTAAATATGTTACTGCATGCATGGGGTGGGGTGACCCTAAAGAAGGGAGGGGAGGGGGTCAATACAACACTGAACTTGGTTAACATTCCCTGAAGCTACAACAATCGCATTCCAGGAGTGTGACATCACGTTGAAACTTGGAACGAGGATGAAAAGATGTGACACTTCTTTGGATGTGAGTGAGCCAAACTTAGCTTATTCTCAATCAAACGAGCGCAACGCAATGCTCAGACCGTGACATTTTGTCGTACCCGTTTCAACGCGGTGTCTCGCTCCTCGAATGCACACTATGAACAATTTTGTACGAGACATCACTTTTTTTTGTGCACACGAAATTTCCTCACAAAACTTTGTACAAAACTGGTGTAAAATGTGCAGTTTTTCGTACGAAAATGGTATTAAAAGTTCGTGTGCACAAAAAATTGTCATGTCTTGTACAAAATTTGTACAAAAAACATTTAGCGTGTGAGAGTGAAGTGCGTCAGAAACAAATGCGAATGTGAACTTAGGGATAAAATCATTGGTACGGTAGTAATGAGCTGTCGTGTACTGCAAGTTCGTTGAAAGGAAGTCCGAGCGCTCCGAGGAACTTCTACCTACACTGCAATAGACGGCGCGGGTGTCCCAGTCTTCCAGCGACGAGTCGCCGCCAACCCCACTCTCCGTGAAGAAGACGGGCAAGTCGTACATTTTCGAGACCCACTTGGGGAGTTCTCGCATGGTCCAATTGCTGCTCTGAAAGCAAAGAGTTGCCGAGAACACTCTAAAAATTTGTTGAAACTTTATGACAAAATTGCGCAAAATTGTGGATGACATGTTCGTCACTCGACAACTGATGACCTTGCAAATGATGAAAATGTCATCACGAAGTGAGAGACAGAGTCATCAAATGTTTTGATGACCTCCGTGTATGCACCCAAAAAAAATGACTTCTTGGATCAAGAAAAACTTAACTTTTCTTGGTTTTTGCAAGAAAATATTTCTTGATTCAATTTTTTTCCTTGAAAGAAGAAAATTTTTCTTGTGTCAAGGTTATTTTTCTAACAAAAACCAAGAAAATCAAAAATCAAGAAACCATTTTTCTGGGTGTGGGAAATAAGCCTTAAAATTGCGAGGGGTGAATCACTCAGCGTTCTGGTGTACACATGAGTACACGAGTACGGGTAAGTACACTTTGAAACTCTCATAAATTTCATAATTTCAAGCGTTTCAGGGCTCTATTTATTGTTTCAGCCAATGCCCAACACCAAATCTTACTCAAAACTAGCGGATTTTGCTATATTTTTGAGCTCGAGAGTACACCGAGAACGCGCCAATTTGTACACATGAGTACACCAGCGATCACCCCCCCTGAAATTGTTACTGTCTTGAAATTGGCATTAGATTCCCTTTTGGGAAAAAAACAGGAAAAGCACAACGTGACTTTGCAATGAGGTTGATGATGATTTGCATTGTCCATGTCAAGACGAAGAAAAGGGCTCAAAATAGACCAAATCAGAGATTTGAACTATTTCCCTAGTTTGACGGGTGAATCTGCAGCTTTACATTTTTTTAGAACGACCCGTGTGATAAAGAACCTACATGCAGTAAAATGTGTGAATGGGCTACACTATTCTATTCATTATACTTCAGTATGCTAGGTAGGAATGCAGCATCACTGATATTTCTAATGTGGTAAGTTTTATAGAATCAGCATTGATAAATAGGCAATGCGATTCCTTCCAATTATCGCGCTAGGAGACCATCCTAATTCGCCGGGGTGTATGAAACTATCCTAACTCGCCCGGGCGCTGGGAGACTAGGGTCAGGGCGGGGAAAAACTGACAACTGTCGTGTAATGAACCGCTGATGCCACGGAACAACTTTTGATAGTTGCTATTCCTGTGCCTACGATATTTGAAGTAAAATATGAGGTGTCCAGTTCTTCCCCGCCCTGACCCTACCTTAACTCCCACACATTCTGTCAAGCTAGGATAGTTCCCCAGCACCCGGGCGAGTTAGGACAGTTTCCTAGCGCCCCGGCGAGTAAGGATGGTTTTCTTCGGAGGGGTCAAAATAACAGATAAAGTACGAGTAAAATTGCAGTAAGGTTTTCTATGATTTGGCCGGTTTTGGCCCAGATCATTACATTTTGATGTAGTAAAGTGAAAGACTTCATTAATGCAATATAATGGCGCTTCTGACGCAATAACTGTTTCATGTATTCATGCATTTGAAATGAGTTCTTTATCCCACTTACGTTAACACTTAACAGTAATTGGCGACTTATTCTGAATGAGGGTGAAGGCACATAGGATGCGTCTTACCGTGTCAGCGCTTCCGTGACCACCACCACCGCCGCCGCCGGGAGGACCGCCGCCATCGCCGGGAGGTCCGCCACCGCCTGACCCTCCATCACCTCCATCACCACCGTCACCGTCACCGCCAGGCGGTCCACCACCAGAGCCATCACCTCCAGGGCCGCCGCCGCCGCCGCCCCCACCCGCAGTGACGTTCGAACCACGGTAAATGTTCACGCCCGCGTAGTCGATGCGCTTTACTGGGGAGAGCAAATCAGGGTAATGATACACTTTGCTGCTCTGAGGGATGTTAAAAGCACTTTGTAAAAAAATTTTGTAGACGGATTAATATTTTGCAATTTCTGTGTTAAACCCCTTTTAGATAATTGAGTAAGCTTCATTTTGACTTAAAGTAAAGTGACTTTGGACATTTTTTGGAGATTTAGTCGAAACGTTGAAAATTTTGGTTCTCGTAAGATTTTGTTCGCATACTTGCTGAGCAGAGTGTGATAACTTAACCAAAATAACGGAAATAACGCTTTTGTTATTTATTAAAGGTATAACCAATAACCGCAAACATTTGTAAAAGGATTAACGTTAATTCATAGTAACAATAACTGTGGATAAACATTTAAACGGTATAAAAGATAACATTTTTGAGAAGAACAACTCGTTTTGGTTTAGCAAAATAACGGTTATTCCTTAGTAACGATAATCCTGTAGCAAAATTAACGGTTACATCTCATATTAATAACAATAATTTGTTTTATCGTTATCATAGCGGGCAAGCGAAGCAAGGCTTGACGGCTATCCTCGCCGAGCTATAAGAAATCGCGTCCACGATAATTCGGCGCTTCGAGTCCTTAAGTCTCCTCTGGGGGCCCCAAAGGGGTCTATGCGACTCTAGCGGCACTTATCAAGCCGTACGCCCAAGGCGCAGCGGAAGGAGAAAAGAAGCGCATCGTGTAATATAAAAAATAACGTTAAATCGGAACGGTTTTGCGATTATTGATATGAACTGCAACCTAAAACCGATGGGCCACAATTAACGTTATTAATGATCCTCCAATGATGAAGGTTAATTTCAATAATCGTTATTCTGTATAACCGTTAAAAGCTATTAACCGTTGTTTATCTACCTGATTAGATGTGGGTATAATTTTATCGTTAATGATTCAATCGTATGTTATATTTGTTACTAACATTAACTAACAAAATTAAAACAACGGCAGTAATGGTATCTTCGGAATTTCCGTTAAGTTACCGGTTACGTTAAGTTTTCGCACCCTGTTGCTGAGATCTGTGGGGAAAAAATCAGGGAGACTCATCCCTAGTAGTGTCATAGAATTGACTACAATGGGCTTTATATCTGCAATAGTTTTCAAGAAAAAAAATAAAACATTTTTTTTTGTTAAAAAATTTGTTTAAAAAATTGTCAAAAAAACTGTTTTTATTTTTTTCTTGAAAACTATTGCAGATGTAAAGCCCATTGTAGTCAATTCTATGACACTACTAGAGATGAGTCTCCCTGAAGTTTTCTCCACAGATCTGAGCAAGTATGCAAACAAAATCTTACGAGAACCAAAATTTTAAACGTTTCGACTAAATCTCCAAAAAATGTCCAAAGTCACTTTACTTAAAGTCAAAATGAAGCTTACTCAATTATCTAAAAGGGTTTTAACACAGAAATTGTAAAATCTTAATCCGTCTACAGCAAAAAAAAATTTTTACAAAGTGCTTTTAACATGTATGAGCCCCCTTAAAACAATGTGAATGCTGAACAGGTATGCAGGGACAAACTGTCCCACGCTTGTCAGAAATTTTGGCCCTTCCAGTTGTGTTGATTTGTGCCAGCATATTAGCAGCATTTTTGGACCGCATTTCGATACATAATTCACGTAATTTCGAAGTAAGGAACAATGAACCCACTCGACGTACCTTTTAAGAGGGCCTTTTGTTCCTCCGTGAAGGCGGGCCGGCTTGCCCTGATGTCTTCCGGGTAGTCGCCCTTCACCAGCGGGTGCAGAGAGAGTCCGATTCCGTGCTCCAGGTTGTCCTTGTCGGCCGCGGCCACGTCCTCGCTGGAGTCCGATCCGGGCCGTGAGAATCCAGGGCCCACGCCGAAACCCACCATGCCTGTCAACCCAGACAAAATTCAAATGGTGCTCTTCCACTGTTTTTAAACGAATGTGACCGTCATATTTGTAATTGATCCAGGATGCGGAAGAAGGGGCTAATTCGACTCATCTTCCAATTGACTTTTCGCCCTATTATTGTGCCTCAGGATAGTTTGCATCATCACACCAAACTATTTGACTCAATTCCTAACAGTTGAGAAGAAAATCCACATGGAAAATGGATATTACTCAATTTGAGCCCTCTTTCATCATTTCATCAGGAAATCGAGGTTACTTAAGTCCACATGATTATATTTCACAAAATGTCAAAAGGAGATAACAACTAAAGTATTTATTAATCAAATGTAAAAAGAGTCAACTCAACGTGACTCCCCCTATTAACCGTTTTTACTCACACATTAAAAAAAGGGTTTGTGTATATTCCTTTTAAAGCTAGGCCCAACTTTGATTTTCAGTAACGGTAACACCGTTACTTCGTTATCGGTAACCCGTTTCTTTTACTAAAATGGGTAACGTTACGACGTTATCGTTACTCAAACCCAATGAAACGGTAACGCGTCACCTTTCAAAAGTAACTTTCAAAACACTGGTCCTCAGGCCATGCCAGAAAACACTGCTCTCAAGCGCAGATCTCCCCCACCATCTTCAACCGTTTGAGCCTCTGAGCGCTTCTTACTCCGAACCCCTAAGGTCGGCCCTGGTTCCGCCACTGCCTGTTCTAATGCACGCACCCTTTTGAGATTCGTAGTACTTGTCGTGGTAGACCTTGTGGGCCATGGCGTGCCCGAGGATAAGGTGATGCAGACACAACTGGCTCTTTTCCCTGGTCGTGATGTCCATTGGTGGCACCCAATGCATCATGCCGGCAAGGGTGCAGTACTGCTCAGCCTCGTTGATGGTCAGCCAGTATTTCACCTAACGGGATAAACAGAGGTGACTGAGTGATGCGTCGACAGAACGCTCGTGACAGCTTGCAATGGGCTGCACGCCAAATGCCTATAAAAGGTTCGTACATAACTAATGCCATATTTGTGAACACTCCCAATATCCTACTGAGCTTTTCCTTCGTAATACGAACGAAGAGCTGAGTATTATGAAAGCGCAGCGAAGGTAGTAAACTATGATGAAGAGTTCTCAGTAACTTGTGGCCAGTTTGTTCGTACCACCAAATGTCTCTGTATTATGATAGATTCGTATCGTAAAGTACTGAGAATTAGCATTAGCTTAGTATTATGACTGCACGACATTACTCGGTAGAAAATTGGAAGTGTCAATGTTCAGTTGTGTGGACATTTGTATATTAAGTAGGTAAAATTTTATAAATATTTAAGCACAATAAGAAAATATTGTCCTCAATGTATTGGCGGATGCTAAAACATGGCGGGCAATTAAAAGCTTGTGGTGGATAGTTGAAATGACACTGACAATGTAGTAGTCACAACTAAGACTAAAGTTTTTGGTGAGACGTACTTCTTTATCACCCAAATTTGTGTGATGAAGGTTTTTAATCACCTAAGTTGAGAGAATATACTATCTACCTACATATTAAACTGATGCACAGTATTGCCCAAATTTATGCAATGAAACCTTCTTCTGTCAAATTGGGTTTCTAGAAACTCCTAACCCACGTTGGGGTGGTAAAGTATACCTTGCCCAAAATTCGGTATTGATCAAGTCTCTTTTCACAGTACGTGCACTGAGCGTGACATGCATGACCGGCTGACATGCAAGCATGTCAGCTGGTTCTTTCAGGAAAATAAGTGAAATTTTTAATAACTCTGTAGCAACGCCAACGCCATTGGCACAGAGAAAAGGCGCAGCTAAGATAGGGTTATGGCCCCGCTATTCCGCGAGGCTTCAACTCAACACCTGTTTCCGACATCGTACATGGAGCCACGTACCTTGCTTCCGTACTCTGCGAACAGAAAGTCTGCGAACTCAGCGAAGACGGCGGGCATTTGTTCGCCAAGCCACCCGTCGAACTCCTCATGCAGAGCTTGAGGGTGATCAAAATGGTAGATGGTCACCTGCGACCCAAAATTTGAAATGGTGAATTGAAGGCGCGTGCATTGAGTTAATGACGCGCCACCTGCAAGAGCAAGGCCCTAACTCTGGACTCAAAAGCACACCACGCTCGAGCATTTCACAGGTGCAGTTGCCACTTAACTCTGCCGTAAGAAAATGCAGAATTTATGCAAATTAATGAACAAGGTTGATTTTTGGCCCGTCCCGTTTAGTTTTTGTAAAAAAAATGACGGAGGGACGGGCATATAGTATGATCCCTGCTGTGCGTCCGTCCGTCCGTCCGTTCGAGGACTTCCCGTGGTCCGATCTAGACCAAATTTGGTATGCAGCCTCCTTGGGTGATCCTAAGAACCGCCCGGTGGCAGCAAATCCCATTCAAGTCCCGGGGGCGCTGCTGCAGGTGCATCATGGTCTACATGGGGTCGAGGAGGATCTCGGCAACGGATGCAGCTAGAAGGCCATGTAGGGGTATTTTTGGAATCGGGGCGACGAGAAAAAAACCAATGGTGCCAGTTTCGAGCGAATCGGAGAAGTTCGGACCCGGGTTTAAATCCCAGCGAGGTATTTTTTGAACATTCTTTTTATTCGAGTTTTTGCATTGTTTCTGATGTTTTTGAGGGTGCTGATGACGAAAACGACATTTATTTTAACCCCAGACTCAGGTTTAATTCCCGTCAGGGTCAAACATAGGCGAAATTCGTACGTTTCTTAGTGTATGGGACGGGCCAAAGTTGCCGATGTATATCGCTACTTTTCCTGTTATTCTATTCTGAAATCAATTTGGCTTGACTACACTCTCATTGCAAGGGAGGGTGGGGAACCATGACCACTGGGGTACCATGACCACCCCACTCGCTCTCGGGAACTACTCAGCCGACGGCAACCGGTCAACCGGACTTTCGAGAGAATCGGATTCTTACTATTTTCAAACAGAGCTCTACCTTCTTACTTTAAGGGTACAACCATAGCACCTCTCCAAAATTTTCGTTACAACGTTTTCGCTGCTCAAACGAACGTGACATTTTGTCATTTTGTCACGTTCGTTTCGACGTAATGTCACGTACTTGGAATGAGAGTGTATGCAAATCAAAGCTTGTTAAATTAAAATTTAAACAAAATTCACCCTTTACGACCAGAAATTCAAGTTAAACAGATCAGAATGGGTCGCTCTGCAGTAACCGCAGCGAAAATCGAAAGGTGACACATCATGAAGTGAGACGGGTCTGTCTGCCCTACAAAGGGTGGTACTAAAATGTATAACCGTACGAGGGTGATACAGTGCTCCCTCCCTCCAACCTGAGGATTCGGGGGACAAGTCCAGGTTGGAGAGAACAGAAGAAACAGTTGAACACGTGTTGCAAGGGACGGCGAGGGTCGAGCTCGCGCACCGAGAGGCCAATAAAAGCGATCGCGTTGAGGCCCGATGCCGACCACGCCTTCTGCCGGGCTCGCCGTGCTACCTGCTTCCTATTGTGGAGGCATCTTTCGGTCCATACCATGGTCCGACGTTTTGGCGACCGTCCGGGTTTATGGCTGCACTCGTCAGACCCCTGTCAGACGGCGAGCTCGCCGAGGGTCGAGGGTACACAGCGAAAATAAAAAAATCAGGCTGGAGGGAGGCAAGCTTACAAGGAGGGAGCACTGTACTTTGATGTATGGCCGAAAGAAGCAGATACTTTTTGGTATCACCAATGAACGGTGACATTTCTGCAAGAAAAACAACAACCTCGATGTGCAGCCAGTTTTTGCTCATGCCATGGAGTACACACTAAATGTCATGGGACTTTATTTGTCCCACGGTTTATGCAATTTAAGCACATCCGACGCTGATACAATTTTGTTCCCGTCTGGTGACACATTTTGTCCGGCGCCAGCTGCAATTTGTACTTTCACTAGACAATTTGTCCCGCCTGGCGGCCACAAAATTGCATCACCACCGGATGTGCTTAAAATTGCATAAACCGTGGGACAAAAAAAGTCCCATGACATTTAGTGTGTATCACCATTTTCCGGTGATTCACAAGTGTGTGTCATTTTTTCGGTGATACTTTTCGCATCGCCAAAAATAGGTCACCCTTCGAACTTCGTGAATTAGAAAGGGTTCTGGCTCACCACTGGTTCGATATTCTTTCGACGCATTTCATCGATGACGTCATGGTAGTGCTGCACGCCTGCCGGGTTGATGGAGTCCTTACGGCCAGTCTTAAATATCCTCGCCCAGGAAATGGAGAAACGTAGAGCGTTCAGCTAAGAGACGAGAATAGAAGCCATTATTTTTCATGTTTCGGCTTTTGTCATTACATCGCAGTGAATACACAGTAAAAACTCTACGAAGAACCGCTTTGTAATACGAGGAAAATGAAGGCATTGTAAAATCGACGAAGAAATGCTTCGTATTACGAAGCAAAATCCTTCGTAATACGAAGCATTTCTTCATAATACAAAGCAATTCTACAATGCCTTCATTTTTTTTGTAGTTATGAAGCAAATGCTTCGTAGGCTTTTAAGAGTGTATATGCTATATTCAGTTAAGGATTTTCTGTTTTCACTCCCGGGGTGAGTGTGGATTCCACGCCTCTGAGGCGCCTCTGCGGGCGTAGAATCCACACTCACCCCGGGAGTGAAATCAGAAAATCCTTAACTGAAAATAGCAATATATTCGTCGCAGCGTTGTAGTAAGTTTTCACGAGGCATTTCACAATAAAATTTTAATTGTGTACTGAAAGAAATTTGCAGGGATCCTTAACTTACCCCATAAGGGCATCATAACGTTATGATAAAGAGTTAAAGTTATTACCCTTAACTTCTAACATCTTTTCAAAAAGGTTAAGTTATTTTTTTGGTTTCGGATTTGTGTGGATATACCTTTGCAAGTACTTTCTTAAGTCCGTACCCTTAACCTTTAGTACGTTATGTTACGTTATGAAAGCAGTGTTAGTTAAATGTTAAGTTAAGGATCCCTGGAAATTTGGAAAACATTTGAGGCAAATAAATAAATTTTCCTAAATAACTAGAGTAAAGCAAATAAATTTGTTTGTAAGACAGTACGGTTGGAAATGTGACGGAAATTGATCTTTGGCGAAGTAAGTGCATCAGATTTCCTCGTGTCGAGCAATGGGATTTTCCATGGGGCACATGATGCGTTCGCCTCGGACGCATTGTTGCACTTACGGACTGCCAGGTACTCACTCCAATATCAGCAGCAATTCCGATATCTTCCTTGTAGCGGTGATACGAATCGGCTGCAATGTCTCCTGTTTGATCGGTTGACTTGTTGTGGCTGTGATAGTACGCGTCGAACACGTTAACGCCCTTGCCTGCAATCAAGGTCAAAGCCAAACCAAAGGTAATAACTTAACGAACGGTGCGTCAGATTTTCAGATTTTCAGGTAACAGTTTCACGTGTCAGAAACAGAAACTATGCGCGATCTGCTATACCAAATTGCTCAGTGCATTCAGGTGCGTGCTCAAGTACACCTGCATGATTATTCGAGTTCTCATCTACATATAGTGTTTAGATGCGTGCTCTGAGCATGAAACTATTTAAATTCAGAAAAGGCAAGTTCACACTTGTCTGCAACTAGCTCCGAAATTTTATGGATAAAAACAATAACAACACTGGTAAAACTAAAGCGTAGTGTTACTCTCTGTTTTCAAGCGTAATCAGGTTACGCTTGAAATCAAACGTAACACACTGAGAGAAGGGGTCGGTCGGTGCCTCACGATAAAACTGTGTTTTGTGGAACCCCCCAATGGCGACAGTTACACGAGTTCAATCCTTGCAACTGTTCAGCCGATGATCGCAATAAGACTGCTAAATAGTGAGAGTGACTGAACCGCCAATAATAGTCAGCATGAAAGGACTCGATTAAACAGGCTTTAGTCATAGGCTTGATCGATGGTCAGTAGTCGCGACTAAAGCGTTTAGGTGTGGCACCGAAACACTGGCGATGCGACACTCAACACGGAAGTCGCGTTGCCATCGCCCAGCGCTCCGCCATATTCTCAACAGTGCGTTGAGTTGGTAGAGCGACGGACTCGTAACACGTAGGTCCGTGGTTCGAGCACTCGTTTTGGAGTCGTTTTTTCATCGGTTTACGTTTATGTGTCAGGACTAAACAGTCAATCGTCAGATCTTATCGCATTCAGTCACTGTAACAAGATTTGATTCAGTGGCAGTGGCTAAAATAGACAGACGACATGTTGGAAAAAGAGTACATCTCACAACTAAAGTAGTGCGATTAAACGATTTAAATGTGGCCATCGAACGTTTAATTGAACCCCCAGCGACCAAACAGATTGGTTGTCACAGCTGTAAGTTTAGGTGTGGCCCCAAAACATTTCCCTCAGTGCAGGCTCATCCATCCGCCTAGTTTCCCCTTATGTAAATGCATGGGGGATTTTCCAGAGTATGCTTCATTTCAAGCGTAACGTCTTTAAGCTTAACTTTATGCTTGACTCAAGCATAGAGTTACGCTTTAGTTTTACTAGTGAACGTTCACGTTTAATTTCCATCGTTTTGTGGAGAGATTTTCTCAGGGCTTTTTCTTCGGAGCATTACTTGCGCTCTGATGGAAGGCAAAACGCATCTCTTTTCTCAGATAGTTAACGAGCGCTGCGCCAAAGCATTCTTTTTTCTGAATATGGACTAAGAAGGGACCATCAACTTTGAGCTTATTTGACTTACATCCTGTAGCCTTCCCTTACTGTCATTAACACTGAGCTGAACAAGTAGATCCTCACCTTTCCCGGTAGAAAACCTTTTCACGTGATATCCTGATAGTGAAGCATGCAATTTTGTTCAAGTTTCCGAAATTTTTCGGAGAACGCCCAGAGTTTGCTTTTTGGAGAGCGCCATTAAGAAGTTTCAGAAAAATTCCATGGACTTTTCCCATTTTTTTCTCTCGGATATTTCGGATCCGCCACTGACGCTGGGCCGACAATCCCAGAACGGGACCGGGCGTCCGCTGTGCTGGTCGCTGTGCCGGACTCACCATCTTCGTCCCACGCGCCCTCGGTTTGGAACGCGCTCGTGCCGCCGCCCAGGAGGCCCCCCTCCGGCAGAATGTAATTTGCCTCGTCTTCGTCGCCGACCTTTCCAGCGACGGCAAACTGACGGCGCTCCCAACGCACAGGACCAGGCAGGCAACCAATGCCCACGAAGTCCCCATGTTGACTGCAGGGCAAGTGGACAGTGATCTTTTTTATAGCATGATCGCTATCTTGATAAAGGCGCGTACTGTGACGATAGGTGATAGCGCGACACGGGCAAGTGATATGGTTCCATACTAGGGGCCGTCGACATTTGCGACTTTTCGATTTCGACAACGGAATAGCACTCAAAAGTTGCGTTTTTTAATGCTGATTTCGATCTGCCCTTGGTTTTGCGATCAGACTAATTTGATGACCCACCGGCCGTTTTATGAAAAAAAGCGGTGTTTTTCATTTTTTTACTGTGTTAAGGCCCCGGACAGCCTCACGTCGTCGGCCAAGGTAGGTGACCGTTGAGTTGTCTTCAGTAGCAAAAAAGACAACACTCTGAGCCACGAGGGGTCGTGGGTCACCCCTTAATGTGCCAAAGACTTGAAAAACTGATTTTTTTTGGTCGAAAATCACTAAATTTTTTACCATTTTTTCACCGTTTATCGACTATTACGAGAGCCTAGGGGCCCCGAGGTCAAACTTACGCAGACCAAAAGGTGTCACTGGGTATAAAAAAGGTCCCCCAGCCCCTCCCCGGGGCCCCGGGGAGGCGCTGGGGCAGCGAGAGAGGCGGTGTCAAATATGTTAAAAATGACCAAAATCAGCTGATCGGCCGCCTGGGACAGGCTGTGTAGGGGATGGGAGCGTGTCGCCGCGCCGGTCACGACGCTTCGCCCGCTGCCCGCCCACCCGGGCCCTGCTAGCCAGCCGGTCTGCTAGCCAGCGGGCCCTGCCACCCCGTCGGCACTGCGAAAGACTGCAAGAGGGACAGAGCGAGGGAGCTGCAGGGCGGGCAGGCTGAAAGCGTTTCCGAAGAATCCATCGCTGCCTCTGTCGCCCCCCGGGGCAGAGCGACGGAGTGCTGTGGCGCGTGTTGGTTTGAGTTGCCTAGGCACAGTGAGGCAAGGCGTCAGTGTCGGCGGTGACCGTTGCAAGCGTCGTGCCAGCCTGGCATGGTCGACATGAGCCCCGATGGCCTGAGCCCTGGCCGGGCCCGAGCCCCCGGGCCCAGCCCGACTTCAGCGCCGACACGAGCACTGACTGAGCTACGATGGCCAGAGCCCCGAACTGAGCCCCCGGGCCCAGCCCGACTCGAGCTGCGATGTCCAAAACCCCGACCTGAGCCCGTTTTTAGCCCCCACCTGGGCCCCATTTGATCAGTGGTGTCATTTGGGGGTATACGGGGGTATACAGCGTATACTGTCGAGATTTTTTCAAGGCCCCCGTATACACAGTTCCGCATGTAAGAGTATACGCTAAGTTCCCCGGGGATACGGGGGGTATACGGGGCATTAATTTCAGACCAGGGCGACCAACACAAGGCTTCGTCCTCTGAAAAAGGGTTGGGTGATAAGTTTCCCCTAAGCTCAGCTGAGTGCGAGAGGGGATTCTCCATCATGAATCTCATCTGCACTGATCTAAGGACTCGGCTAACCGTACCACACCTTTCCAGCCTGATGTTTTTCAATATAAATGGCCCCCACTAGCGCAATTCCGGCCACATCAGTACGTCAGGAAAGGCTTATCAAACACAAGAGTGCCTCCCAAACCCCCCCCGAGAAAAAAATGCTTCTGTTTCTACGAGATTCTTTGGTCTTTGATGTAAATTAATTTAGTGATTGATGCGTATACGCCGTATACCCCCACATACATTCTTGGTCCGCCACCGACCGTATACTCACGAAAAAAAATCCAATGACACCGCTGCATTTGATCCTCATTTGAGCCCCGCGCCTAAAAAGTTAAAATTTTCAATTTGAACCAAAATCTTCGAAGAACAATTCAAAAATGGAATTTTTTTTGGCGTGGGGCTCAGATGGGACTCAGGTCGAAGCTCAAACCAGGCTCGGTTCGGGGCTCTGGCCATCGTAGCTCAGTCAGTGCTCGCTCTACAAATCAAAGAGTGTACATAGTATGCTCTAACTGGAGCATGCCTGCAAGCACGCTCTAGCTAGCGCATGCCTGCCAAGCATGCACTAACTAGTGCATACATGCCATGTACACGCTTCCTGATGCAGAAAACTCCCTATCCCTTATGCAGTAAATGTACGCTTCAGTTATCGTGTACATGGCATGTATGCACTAGTTAGTGCATGCTTGGCAGGCATGCGCTAGTTAGAGCGTGCTTGCAGGCATGCTCCAGTTAGAGCGTACCATGTACACTCTTTGATTTGTAGAGCGTGTCGGCGCTCAAGTCAGGCTCGGCCAGGGCTCAGGCCATCGGGGCTCATGTCGACCATGCCAGGCTGGCACGACGCTTGCAACGGTCACCGCCGACACTGACGCCTTGCCTCACTGTGCCAGGCAACTCAAACTCAACACGCGCCGCACACTCCGTCGCTCTGCCTCCGGGGTGCGACAGAGGCAGCGATGGATTCTTCGGAAACGCTTTCAGCCTGCCCGCCCAGCAGCTCCCGTCGCTCTGTCCCTCTTGCAGTCTTTCGCAGCGCCGACGGGCTGGCAGGCCGGCTGGCTAGCAGGCCGGCTGGGCGGGCAGCGGGCGAAGCGTCGTGACCGGCGCGGCGACACGCTCCCATCCCCTACACAGCCTGTCCCAGGCGGCCGATCAGCTGATTTTGGTCATTTTTAACATATTCGACACCGCCTCTCTCGCTGCCCCAGCGCCTCCCCGGGCCCGGGCAGGGGCTGGGTGACCTTTCTTATACCCAGTGACACCTTTTGGTCTGCGTAAGTTATGACCTCGGGCCCGTGGGCTCTCGTAACAGTCGATAAACGGTGAAAAAATGGTAAAAATTGAGTGATTTTCGACCAAAAAAATTCAGTTTTTCAAGTCTTTGGCACATTAGAGGGGTGACCCACGACCCCTCGTGGCTCAGAGTGTTGTCTTTTATGCTACTGAAGACAACTCAACGGTCACCTACCTTGGCCGACGACGTGGAGGCTGTCCGGGAGCCTTAACACAGTAAAAACATGAAAAACCCGCTTTTTTGCATAAAACGGCCGGTAGGGTCATCAAAGCTTTGTCTGATCGCAAAACCGAGGACAGATCTGAAATCAGCATTAAAAAACGCAACTTTTGAGTGCTATTCCGTTGTCAAAATCGAAAAGTCGCAAATGTCGACGGCCCCTATTCCATACCACACGCTTCTGGAAGTATTCATACACCATCTCACTCACTGACTCACTCCATCGTTTTTGGCCCGCCCTTCTATTCAAAAAATAGGGGGAGGGCCTATGCATTTGCCTTTGTGTCTGTGTGTTGTTGTTGTTGTTGTTGTTGTTGGCGTCTGTGTACAAGGAAGGAGTTGAGCTAGAGTAAACCCGATTTGGAGGGTACTTCAGGAGTACCGTCCAAACAAATAATCCGGTGGTGCAAATCCCGTCCGGGTCGCACAAGGGCTGCTGCAGGTGCATCATGGTTTACATGAGCGGGAGGGGAATTTCCGCCATTATTGGTGCTAGCAGGGCACATAGGGGTATTTTTGGAATCGGGGCGACGAGACAAGATGAATGGACCTGGTCCCGACCCCATCGGCCGCTTTTACAAGTTGGCCAGATCAGGATCTTCAAAAAAGGGGGTTGACCGACTAAAAAAAAATTATTGCAGATTTCGATTGGTCTCAGCAAGACCTTTTCAACGAGGGGTCGGAAAGGGGATCCAGGAGCCCGACTTCGTCTATTAGTCACATTAGGATCTTGAAAAAAGGGGGTCGACCGACTGAAAATTTTTACTTAAGTTTTCGATAGGTCTTGGCAAGACCTCTTCAACGAGGGGTCGGAAGGGGGGTCCAGGAGCCCGCCTTCATGAGTTATGGGAAAAAGTGCGACGGACTCGTTTTGCGCTCCTGCTGTGCCTCTATTGCAAGGAGTTGCAGTAGCATGGCAAATATGGGTATTTTCGGAATGAGGGCGAAGAGACAAATGAAACGGGCATATTCTAAGGACAGTTGGAGTAAAAAGTGTAAGGACTATTGCATATTGTGAATAGAAGGGTGGGCCTAAGTCACGATGGTACATCGATAACTTTGCTTTACCCGCTCACGGTGTGTGTGATGCGAGCAGGCCGAAGGCCCGGGCCTTCGACTGGCCAAGTTGGGTCTGATGCGAGGGCCGAAGGCCCGAGAAAAGGCCGCCGGCAGGCCAAGCTGGGCCGGCCCCCTGTCGAACCGAGTTGCCGGTGCAGCGAAGCGGAGCTGGCAACTCGATTCGACGGAAGGGCGGGCCCTAGCTTGTTAAGTCATAAGTTACACTAAGTAAGGCATTCAGATGATAAGGTACTATTACCAGCTCTACTTTCTCTTAATAATTATAGCCTATGTTACTTGCTTTTCGTGTTTCAGAGCAACAGATTCTTTGGTCTTTGATGTAAATTAATTTAGTGATTGCGTATACGCCGTATACCCCCACATACATTCTTTGTCCGCCACCGACCGTATACTACGAAAAAAAATCCAATGACACCGCCTGCATTTGATCCTCATTTGAGCCCCCGCGCCTAAAGTTAAAATTTTTCAATTTGAACCAAAATCTTCGAAGAACAATTCAAAAATGGAATTTTTTTCGGCGTGGGCTCAGATGGGACTCAGGTCGAAGCTCAAACCAGGCTCGGTTCGGGCTCTGGCCATCGTAGCTCAGTCAGTGCTCGCTCTACAAATCAAAGAGTGTACATAGTATGCTCTAACTGGAGCATGCCTGCAAGCACGCTCTAGCTAGCGCATGCCTGCCAAGCATGCACTAACTAGTGCATACATCCATGTACACGCTTCCCTGATGCAGCAAAACTCCCTATCCCTTATGCAGTAAATGTACGCTTCAGTTATCGTGTACATGGCATGTATGCACTATTAGTGCATGCTTGGCAGGCATGCGCTAGTTAGAGCGTGCTTGCAGGCATGCTCCAGTTAGAGCGTACCATGTACACTCTTTGATTTGGAGCGTGTCGGCGCTCAAGTCAGGCTCGGCCAGGGCTCAGGCCATCGGGGCTCATGTCGACCATGCCAGGCTGGCACGACGCTTGCAACGGTCACCGCCGACACTGACGCCTTGCCTCACTGTGCTAGGCAACTCAAACTCACACGCGCCAGCAGCACTCCGTCGCTCTGCCTCCGGGTGCGACAGAGGCAGCGATGGATTCTTCGGAAC